ACAATGCGGTATTTGTTAAATAATTCTAGGAGGTTGGCTTGAGTTGAGGACGAGTAAAACTTTCATTAGACCTCTATATATATATATTTTTTTTACGTAAATAACTTGCATTGATCGAATTTGAGAAATAATTAGTTTAGATGGGCAAAACTTTATTTAAAACTACACCTTTGTACCATCAAAAAAACGCAATATCTAACGGGATAAAAGAGTTTGATCACTCTTGAATTTTAAGTCATTTAAAGTTGAGTTTTTGAACTTTTTTTTTAATTGATTTTAAAGATCTCTAAACTTTAATTTTTTTGAGATTTAATTCATCTAGTGATTTTTAAATATCATATTCCCTTTTAAAAATTTAATTATTGATATTTTGAACTGAAATTTTGCACGCAAATTGAAAAAAAAATCAATCTATTTTTAGAAAATTTTTCGAATTTTTCAAAATTGAAAACTAAATTTGTTTACTTTTTGAACATTAAAAATATAGAAAATAACTCGAAATGATTTCAAATTTTTTAAAGAGTCCCGCATAAATCTCATCGAATAATTTTCATCATGAAACTATTTATGTGATTGTTATTTTCATCATGAATAATTTTCATCACGAAAATATTTATGTGATTGTTATTTTTTTGAGACAAATGATAAAAAATTGAAAACTATGCTAATTTTTTTTTAAAAAAATTCATGAATTTCCAAAACCAATAAAAAAGTTTAGAAACTCAACTTTAAATAACTTAAAGTTCATAAATAGTTAGACTCTTTTAGCATATATAAAATTTAAATGCGAAGGTTTTTACTTGTATGGTCACATGATAATGAAAGAAGGCCCTCATGCAAAATTCGAAATAAAGTTATTATTTCATTTTTGTGTTTCTATTTAAATAATTAGCTATTATTTTAATTTAAAAACCAATACAAGATTTTCTATATTTTTATACACTTATTTTTAGCAAGTTAGCCATTCTATTACTTTTTATTTTTTGACAATTTTATGGTGTCATTTTCTAAAATATCCTTTATTTTTAATCAAATTTGCTACTATAAAATAAAATCAAAAGTGAATTTAAAAAAGCACTAATAGTAAAAAAAAAAAAATCGACAATCAAGGTATTTTCGAAACTAACTTGTGTTTTAATTAAAATGAAGTCAATTTCTAGATGATTTTAAGAAAACACCCTTCACATCGGTTTGGTGTATTTAGAAAAACTTAATAAATGCTCTTACGTGTTGGTTTCAAGGTTTGAATACAAAAAGTCAAAGAAAATGAGTAAATCTCTTTGGCGAGAAGTTTTTAAATATTCAACGAGAAACTATTAATACTTGCTTTATAAGAACACAAAAAAAAAAAAAAAAATTACATCTAGATTCATAAAAATTGAATTTTTTACTTAGGCTTTTTTTTTCCTCACTCCCATTTTTCTCTTTTTATTGTGTGCATCTCTTTTATAGAGAGTCAATATTGTTAATTACTCCTTAAATACCATGAATTTTTTCATCCTTAACCATAATATCAATACCTCGACCTTTAAAAGAATAGAATCCAATATCGTCAATACATGATTTTAGAGACTAAAAGACTAATTACCAATACTAACTTATAGGTATACTCGTAAAAACATGACCCGACATGTGTCTCTTACTAGCCTATCAAGAAGTGACCTAGGATTCACACTGTTCCGAATATGCCTATATGAGACCTTCGCACTAAAGACACCTTACAATTAGGAACACTCGTCCACCAAACTCATCGTTAATCTTCGAGTTTAGTTCTTCCTCTTACGAGAAATAAGCACAAAAGACATTCATTAAATGAAAAATACATCTCTACATGTCATTGCTAGTAAATATGGTATTTGCACTTAAAAGGATCTTAAATTTACAAAAACTCCAATTGGAAGGCGTTGCACAAATAGAGTGAAAGACGAACATATATCTTTCACTCCATACAAGTTGATCATATCTCACCACTATATAAAAAGTTAACCTCACACATGTTAAGAAGTAGGTTCTCTCGTAAAAACATGACCCAACATGTGTCTCTTACTAGCTTGTGAAGAAGTGACCCATGAGTCACCTGTTCCGAATATGCCTATATAAGACCTTCGCACCAAAGACACCTTATAACTAGGAACATTCATCCACCAAACTTATCGTCAATCTTCGAGTTTAGTTCTTCCTCTTACGATAAATAAGCACAAAAGAGATGTATTAAATGAAAGATACATCTCTACACATCATTGTCGATAAAGATGGCGTTTGCACTTAAGAGAATCTTAAATTTACAAAAACTCTAATTGGAAGGCGTTTCACAAATAAAGTGAAAGACGAACATATATCTTTCACTCCACACAAGTTGATCATATCTTACCACTATATAAAAAGTTAACCTCACATATGTTAAGAGAGTAGGTTCTCTCGTAAAAACATGACCCGACATGTGTATCTTACTAGCCTATGAAGAATTGACCCATGACTCACCTGTTTTGAATATGCCTATATGAGACCTTCGCACCAAAGACACTTTACAACTAGGAACACTCGTCCATCAAACTCACCGTCAATCTTTAAGTATAGTTCTTCCTCTTATGAGAAATAAGCACAAAAGACATGCATTAAATGAAAGATACATCTTTACATGTCATTGCTAGTAAAGATGGTATTTGCACTTAAGAGGATCTTAAATTTACAAAAACTCCAATTAGAAGCCGTTGCACAAATAGAGTGAAAGACGAACATATATCTTTTACTCCACACAAGTTGATCATATCTTACCACTATATAAAAAGTTAACCTCACATATGTTAAGAGAGTAGGTTCTCTCTTAAAAACATGACCCGACATGTGTCTCTTACTAACATGTGAAGAAGTGACCCATGACTCACTGGTTCTGAATATGCCTATATAAGACCTTCATACCAAAGACACCTTACAACTAGGAACACTCGTCCACCAAACTCACCGTCAATCTTTGAGTTTAGTTCTTCCTCTTATGAGAAACAAGCACAAAAGACATGCATTAAATGAAAGATACATCTCTGCACGTCACTGCCAATAAAGATGGCATTTGCATTTAAGAGGATCTTAAATTTATAAAAACTCCAATCAGAAAGCGTTGCACAAATAGAGTGAAAGATGGACATATATCTTTCACTCTATACAAGTTAATTATATCTCACAACTATATAAAAAGTTAACCTCAAACATGTCAAGAGATTAGGTTTTGCTTTTTACATTCTTCACACATACAAACACTATATATATTCTTCAAATATAGCAAAAAACATGCTGTCAACTACTAAGTCTACTCAAATCAAACTAACTAGCATGTGTAAACATTTCTTTCAGCATGCTAATTTAGCCATCAAAATGTCTTCTAAAACTTTTTTTTTTAAAAAAAGAGGCTTTTTCTTTCAAAACTTAAAAAAAAAGGACTTTATCTTGCATATATTCGCCATAGAATTCCAAAAGAAAACAAATATCCATCCAGATATCAAGTGAAAAAAAAACAACATCAAACCTTTCAAATAATCCGAGGTATCACAACCTCATCACTTATATTTCAGTCAAATTTACTTCACATTGGTAAGCAAACTTGACGCAAATCTACTACCCAAAAGTAGGTGCCATATCTATTGGCTATATTGTTGCCTATTTCGGTGGCATCAAAATAATAATGCAATGCGTACCCAACGTTGAGTAATACGAGACTAGATTCTGGGTGCAACTACTATTTTAGCCAGAGTTTTAAAAGCAAAAATTAAAACGAGTTCATTTCTATTGTATGAAAGATAAAAAAATATCCATAATATTTTTTAAAAATAAAAAACTTCATCTTTCCATTTTCTGTACAAAAAAATAATACTTATTGTATTTTTGTTATTAGCCTCTTCATAAAAAATCTTCAATCTTTGTTTCTGACGCAATCATTTTTTTTTCAAAGAATGTTACTTATTTGTATCATCTCAGTTATTTTTACAACAATTTTGAGAGGTTAAAATTCCAAGGAAAGAATGTTAAAGTTTTCAATTGTATTATGCCTCGCAATGAGATATACCATCATCAAGAATAGTGTGCAACAAATATATATATATATATATATATATAAGTAAAATGAAACAAAAATGTCCTTTCAAATCTTTCAAGATTTACTGGACTTTTACAAAAGTTTTTAAATGTGTAGTGTTCAATACACTTCATATGATTCTCCTCTTCTTTTCACATGGCAAATATTTTTTTTAGGTGTAATGCTGCCTATCATCATCATTATTCCACATGTATAAACTTTCCAAACAAATGCGCTATCATTACCAACCATTTCCCTTTATCTAATCCTCCATAAAGTTTACAACGAAAGTCCATGTCACCACCTAGTCAAATCCAGCTTTACAAAAATCTTAATTATTCCCAACTAAATCCAAATTGCAAAAAGCTAATATAAATTGACCAAAATAGCCCTCCTCATAACTTACCCCTAAAATTTAATTCCCTACCAAACAAAGAAACAACAGTCAATCACCAACCAAGCAACTACCACCACCCTTTCAAAGCCGAGCCGGGCCAAAAAACTTGAAGGGACAGAGAAGCCACACATTGGCCGTGATTGACTAGGCATATGGATCCCAATGGGACCGGACTTCAAAACAGATTTCAAACCAATTAATAAATAAAAAGGACTAATCGTTAAAAATTTAAAAATAGAAACCCCTGGGCCGAATAAAAAAAGAAAAAAGAAAAAAAGAGCAAGACGTCCGTGATGGCCTAAGTATTTGTACCCACCACGCGCCTGCCTTTCACATCATTACACTCTCTCTCTATTTCTCTCTTTCTCTCTCTACATTGTCTCCTTATATAAACTTCTCATTTGTTTGCCACTTCTCGCCACAGCCACTCACAGCATTATTATTCTCTCTCTTATATCTTCTGTAGAAAAAGCAAACCCTAACGTTAGGGGGTTCTTTCTCTCTTTCTGTTACTTTTTTTAGTTCTAATAAATCGCTATGGAAGAGTCTCATAACAATAAAAAACGAGTCAGGGATGACTCATGCGAGTCGGAGTTGGATTTGCCGGAGGTGAAGAAAATTAGAGAGGATTTATTGGGTATCCTTGACGACTCGGACCCTGACTCGCTGGGTCAGGATCTTGACTCAGTCATGAAGAGTTTTGAGCAAGAGATATCTGCGTCTACCTCATCTTCGGTGCCTGTCGTTGACCTGACGTCTGAATCCGGCGAGTCCCAGCCGGATCTCGGGTACCTTCTTGAAGCTTCTGACGATGAGCTTGGCTTGCCTCCTTCGTCGATTAATTCGACGAGCGAGGAGGTCAAGGGCGGGGAAGAGACTAAGATTGTCCGAGTCGACTCAGCCGAATCATCCGGCATAGGCGGTGAGGTGTGGAGGTTCGACGATCAGATCCCGACTTATGACTCGTTCGGGCTGGGAGTAGGGGACAGTAATTATAACAGCGAGTACGTGGCGTTCGATGATGGGTTGTTCGAGTACTCTAATGTCTGTTTCGACTCGTCCGAGTTTTCGGATTTTTCGTGGCGTTTAGGTGGCATGCCGGCCGAGTAATTAAAGACGGAACGGAGTTTTTCGGTCATCGTTAATTTGAAACGATGCCGTCAGCTCTTTATTTTTGTAAATTTTTTTGCTTTTCTTAAATTTTTTAGAAAAACGAATTAATTTAAAAGGATATATGAATATATATATATATATATATATATATATATATATATATATATATATATGTAGGGGTACAATTTGAAAGTGAAGATTCCGTGACTACAAGTGAGGAATTGGTTCTTTTTTGATGCTGGGGATTATGAATATTTTGTTAGTCTCTTGGATGTTAATCTGACGAATCATGTTCCTATACCTTGGCTATGAAAGGGAATTTGAATCACTGTTTGGCTTGATCTGCTCTGTGTTTCAGAATAAACTTCAATCAAATTGATGCCTTCGCAGCTTCGCTGTACAGGAGTTGATTAATCTGCCCATATTATCGATTACAAAAGTTTAAATCTACTCTCAAGGAAAGGGTCCATTTGGCATGGCTTGGCAAATGAAATAAACCGTTCTCGTTGAAATTAAATTTTCATATAGTAAATTATAATTTATTCTGGAAAAAATTTAACAGCTAGGATAATCTGGCATGGCTCTTACAATCTCTTAGATGTCCTAAATTTGCCGTGGACTCAAAGCTACCACTCACTCTTGAGTACTCTCCTTTATAATTTCTCTCATTATGTACCAAAAAAAAAAAAAAAAAAGGAGAAATTCTACATGTATCCATAGCAGGTGTACTGCTAGATCTGGTTGGAATTGGTTGCGTTTGGAAGATATGAGAGTTCTACTGTTTTGCAGCAAAAACAAAATTTACGTTACGTGTTTTCTAATGCAAGATCTTTCCTCCGTCGAACGCTATTAAATTATATTCAAGTCTATCAGGATCTGCACTAATTAATTTTATAAATAAAATGCAGCATGAGGATCTATTTGGTATAGTTGCTTTGTTTTTTATTTTGTTTTAATAAAAGGGAAAATAACGCATCATGGTGAAAGAGCTGGCTGTTGGAAGCATAAAAAAAGAAGAAAAAAAAATTCAACCTAATGGTGAAAATCTAGCTTTTGATTTTTGATTTTTTTTTTTATGATAAAAAAACCACACCAAACGGATCGAGTTAGTAAAGAACAAAACAAAATTCAATGAAGTTTTGCCACGTGCCTAGAGATAGCAGTGGGTACGTACAAAGCATTTAATTTCTCCACTTCAATTCATTGATAATATGTTAAAATATTTTAATGAATAATGGGGTTAGAGATGCGTAAAATAGTATTTACTCATGAAAATAAATACCCTATTTTTACTCTATTTATACTAATTAATTATCTGTTACGATTAAAAAGAATAAATACACAAAACTTTGAATTAAAAAATGGAAAAAAAAAATGGAAGAAGAGCACCACCGACTATCGTCCATCGGGAGCACGTCACCACTTAACCACCAACCCTCCTCCACCAAATCAACCTGCCACCACCATCATCTTCTTTAAACTCGAACCTGCCACTACAACTACCTAATCCACAGTCCAAACACCATCACAGTCACCACAACCACCATCAAACACCAAAACCGAACAAAATCTATTCTGCCACCATCGTTAAAGACGTCAACAACAACAAAAACAGCAGCAGCAGCAACAAGGTCAGTCTCCAAGCTGATCTAATTAGGGATTAGTAGTTTTGTAATCATAGTTTGTGATCATGGGTTATGTTTGATTGTTGAAAAAATTGATGATTAATTCCTTTTGATCGAGTGGGTAATGTAATTAGTTTACCTTAGATTTAGCAACAATATAATATTGTTGAAATAATTAGGGGATTTTTTTCTTTGGATGTAGATGATTTATGCTTAGTCATTGGATAAACTTTTTGGACAACCTTCCTCTGCCAGATCATCAGTTTCGTGATATTGGTTTTTTTTTTTCCTTTTCTGATTCCATTGCTTAAGTTTTCCAAAAAGTTGGACGTGACAGGATTATAACCTATTTTTTAAGAAGGAAATACGGTAAACATTGAAGTTCAGGATGAATATGCCATGGATGTTTTTCTTCCCCTTATAAATGTAGATATTTCTTGTGAGATAGAGCCAATACATACATCCTTATTTGCTATGGAATGGTGAAAGTTGGGTTTTAAGAAAGTCCTACTTCTGTATAAAGTATAAAATGACAAGTAAATACCGCTGGAGAAAGAAAAAAGAATGGAAAGTTTAATGTCTGATTCAGAGAGTTGCAATGCACAAATGTTGTTGATACAGCAAAGTATATTATGGCTCATGAAGATGTCTGGTGCAAGTCTGAAGTATAGCAGTACAAGTACACCAGAATCACTTCTCTACTCTATAATAAGATGGGAACAGAGACTATTGAAGGACAAAAGCATGGTGTATTGCAGGGTAGTGAATTTGCATCGAAGTAGGCTATAGAAGGATACTTTGGAAGCTTTGATGTGCTCGCAAGATTGGTTACTGGGTCAAATACAAGGTATGAATTCTTTTTATGATGGTGAATTGTATTTATGTAGATACTTCAAATTCGATGGATTCCCCTTCTTTGAGAATGTAGACGAAATGTGACAAGACAAATAAAATAAGATTCATGTTGGAGTCTTGCTTTTGTTATCAACAATCCATATGGAAATTTCTATGAAACTGGCTGGTACCAATGTCATGTTTATGCATATGTATCAAACTTAGTTTAAATTTTTAAAAGGAAGTAAAAATAGACAAGTAGGATCTACATCTATATGTTGGTTGTTATAGCACATTCAAGGGTGATCTATGATCTATTATTACCTTTACCGACATCCTATTCATTTGTTGTTAATCAATGACTGAAATAAGCTAATCTCTTTAGTCCTAAATAATTTTAGGACTTAAATAAAAAAGGGATAATTATAGGCTTAGCAACTGTAAAAAATTCAAGGATAGTATTAAAACTCAGAACCTTTATTTTATGATTATCAATCAAATAATCATAATTTTCTATCTATATATTTTAATAATTAGTTATATTTTAAAGTTTGATTTACTAGTAAAGTATGGTATATACCTTTAATGAATAATGAATATGGTAATGAGAATATTATTTTTTAATAGATAGGGTATAAGTTTGATTTAATAAACTGGATACCTACTCATTGTCCTCTTCCACCCCTTACGAATAGCATTTCAGAGATGGACCTGTTGAAGAGTGATCTATATTTTGTTGGGGAAGGCAAAAAGCAGGGTGAGGTGATTTGGTTCACAAGTAGGATGGTCAGTCTAGCCCAATTAGTTCGTTAGTCATGGAGGTGAGTACTATTTAGTTTAAATTGAAAAATAAAACTGAACTTTTTTTTCCTCAGTTTGGGTTGGTTTTTGAAAATTTTAGTTCAGTTTAAAATGAAAACTGAAAACTGAATTTTGTTTTTTATTTTTTATTTTTTTAAGTTTTAAAATAGTACAAATAATCCAAAAAAGCCAATACTTCAACATTATTATCCATATATAATGGATTTATGGTGTGTTTTTGTATATTTAAATTATTTTAAAAATTTTAAAAAAATTGGTAAAAAAATTCAAAAAGAAAAATCAATTTAAATTGAAAAAACCAAAATGAAAAAACTAAAATTTTGATTTTTAAATGAAAAAAAAATTGTTTTGAATTCGGTTTTTGTTTTTTTAGGATATCAAAATTGTTAAAATTGAACAAAAAAACTGAAAGATCACCTCTGATTGGTAGCTGCAACAGACCCTTAACCATAACAATTATTTTTTTATTTTTTTATCGTCTCTCAGCCATAATTATTAATAAAGTTTGGAATAGAAGTTTAAATAAAATTCAAAAATTGCAAAATAAAGAATGAGAGAGGCTAATTACGTAATAGAAAAGCTTTATCAAGTGGAACACAAAAAAACTGTGGGCAAAATGGGTAGTCGTGGATTTTACCCAAAAAAAAAAAAAAAAAAAAACGAGAGATTTTCATCCATGATACTTCCTGAACTAATATAGAAAATATCGATAATCTAGACTGTGTTTGCATTTTTGCTGAATTTTAAGCTTCTCAGTTACAAAAGGTTAGTTTAGCCATGCTAATGATAGATCCTTTGCCTTTTTTTTGTTTTTCGTTTCGGAAGAAGTTGAGTTAAGCGATAAATGTTTTATATATGTGTATTTTTTAAATTTGATATTGAACATGATAAATACTTAACAAAGAGTATTTTGGAAGGGATCAAACTCCCTTCTATTTGTATTTAATAGTAAATTGTTCAGTTTTGATGGAAAAAGTACTTAAATTAAAATTCAATTTTCAGATGTATATGTGGTTATTAGTTATTTTCTTAAAAAATAATAACAATAATTATCATCACCTAATATTCCTCTATCTCCGAAAAAAGAAAATAAAGGGTTGAAGCAGGCCTGGGCTGCTCGGCTGGCCCAAGTGCACCAGGCTTCGGGCCTGGCTGTCCAAGCCCAATTGAATCCAATCCAAAAAAAAAAAAAAGAAAAACGAAAAAATTAAAATAGAAAACCCTAAACGACCTGGGTATTGCCTCTAAATACATCCTCTCTCAACACGCAAAAACCTGCACAAAAACGTTGACACCTAGGAAAAAAAAAGACAAAAATAGAGGAATAAAAGCCAGAAAAGGAGATAGGACCGCGGTTCAACTCAATGACTTTAATTTGTGTCGTTATTATGTAATAGAAGAAAACTACTCCCATTATATAATATAATGTCCATAAACCTTCCTATTTTTTTTTCAAAAAAACTTTCTAGTGTTATAAAAGCGTATGAACGGGCTGCGATAGAACATGCCTTGTGGTTGATTCCAAAATTGACGGAGATAAAAATAAAAATTCAAAATTCAAAAGCCTCCAACTGATGATATGTTTTTGTAAGCCTTCAATAACGCGTGGTCAAGCTTTGTAGATGAAGTTACATCACTCTCATTCTCCGAACCAGAAGTTAATTAATGTATTCAAGGTTTTCTTCATTAGTTGACCAAGCAAGCGAGGTGCTTTTGACGAAATTGTGAAACTTCATTCTAATTAATAGTGGTTCTAAAGCTAAAATCCACTATTAGGATTTATTCTGGGCTTCCTTTCATTTTCAATGTAATGCTAGATTGTATCTCTCGTTTTAGGGTACGCATAATTTCACAAATCTCATTTGTTTATTAGTTGCCCAAATCACACTGGAATATAAAATTCTTTTTAACAAACTAAAATTGTATATTCTCATGCACAAATCAAGAAATTCATGATGACAACTCTTGATTCTTTCCTCTTATTTAATAGGGTATTAATTATTATCCAAGCTCCAAAGCAGCTAAGGTTATGAATTAAAGAGATATTCTTTCTTTCTATATATATATATAATTTTGAATAAATTTAAGTTACTATAGTTATATGGTCTTTCGGTTATTAGGTGCAGTATATAATTTAAATCTTAACATATGGACGTGCTAAAAATAACTTGAAACATAAAAGGAATTGATATCTGACATAGATTTTCAGTTTTATTCGCATTTAATCATAATATTAATTTTAGAAGTGCTACCTTAGAAGATCCAAAAAAACTTGCATGATTGATTGATTTTTTTTTTTTTTTTAACATAAAATAGGTATATATACAAACTGATCGCATGTTTAATAAAAAACATTGTCTTTCATTAAAAAAACATTGTCTTTCATACTTACATGTATCTAAAGATATTCTATCGTATCTATATCAATATCAACGTTTAGGATGAATTTGCGATTTTCTATGCCTGGGCCAAGTCCTTGGGGGATACTCTTACAATTGAGGAACAAACAAACAATCATGAAGGGGGGAAAAAAAGAAGGAAAAATCATAAAGAACTACAATGTAATTTATGTTGATTGAACTTTTTAACATCCTCTAGTCTGGTTTATAATGCAAAGTTGGAGTATCTGTATCAATGCCTTTTCAATTATTATATCGATGAAATCTCCTATAAAAGAGAGATTTACAGATTACAAGTAGGTAAAGGTGAGTCATGTTAACTGAAGAGGCAAGAATTGCTCCATTGAGACTGTTATTGTTCAGTCACCCAATCTCTATTCACAAAATTTTTGTCAGATTCTGAGCCTTAAGAAACCTATCAAATTGTGCGAGTTTTTGTTGTGATTAAGCGAATAACAACACGTCTCTCTTTCATATCTTCAAGACTAACACGAGAAAATTCGATTATATTTAAGCGTCTGTATGTAATTGCAAGTCTTCTTGGATAATAAACCTATGCTGAAATACCGAAGGCTAATTAAGCTGGTGTGATATTAACGATCGAAGTAGTGAAAAAAACATCTATTTCATAATCATGTGCGTTTTTTTAATCATCATACATGGATTCCATACTTGTTACCTATCACACACACACACACACACACATATATATTCTAAACAAACCTCAAAATTTGTGAAAAAGAGCTACTAATTTGTGAGGCATATGTTTAAAATCCAGCTCATGAGTTATCTTAACACAAATTCAGGAAAAATATTGAAGTAAAAAAGAATTAATTAGGAAAAAATTGAATAGGAAAAGGATTAAATTGAAAATAAAAAAGCTGAAGGGCAAATTGTGAAGTTTCTATGTATAGTGATGAAAAAGGAGATGAAAAACACACAGGAAAAGTTGATTTGACTCTCTTCTTTTGGATAGGTGTAAAAAATGAAGAATTGCCCTGTTAGATATTTCCATCCGTTTCTTATCTGAATTATCCTTTCTTATCTTAAGAATACTTGATATAACGTTTCGTTTTATTAGATAGATTTTATATAGACTGCTTTTGTTACGTGTCATTCGGTAGTATTTGCAATTTCACCATGGCTAAAAGAGGATGATGAACTTATAGCCCCTTAAAAGTTCTGCCTTGTACTCCTCTACCGATGACTTTCAGATATGCCATAGGATAGTTTTATTTCCAGTAGTCAATAATCTACTGAAGGAATGGTTATGATTGTTTTGGACAATTATAACTGAGCAATCAATTTTATGCTCTGAAGTGAAGTGTGGATTATGATTTTCAGATCCATGGTTGCAGGGTACTATATATTTTCCTGATGTTGTAGTGGCAGCAGCAGTTGGGGTTGTAACTGGTTCGTGTGTGGGCTCACTAATACCTGTTTGTAGTCACTAGTTAGCTCGGTCTTCAATCTTGCAGCTTTCGTCGCATGTTAGTGTACTTGCTCTTGCTCTCTCGTCTCAATTCTTTCCATACAGCAATGTTGAACCGAAGAGGGTTGTTTTTAGCACACACTTGTTACTACTGGTATGAAGAAGGGAGCGCTTGATCTTTAAAGCCCTTTAAAACTCTATCAAGTTAGAACTGCTAGACAGATTTCGCATTGATGTGTGAATAGGAACACAGTTTAATTATTAGCTCTGTTTTGGGCTACTTGATTCATTTTGATTTCTAAAGCTCCTTTTCTCAGCTATCTTGTCTGAATACTTCCTTGACTTGTGTGGATTGACAGATGCAAATAGGATCGAGGACTCCAGCTATGAATTTTCTGTTTTAGATTCCAATTCTTTATTATTTCTTTTCAAATATGCTCCTGAAGTGGCAAAGGGACTGCATATTGGCCAAGAGTTATCTTTTGAAACTGCTAATATGTCTCACCGGGAAACTTGGTTGGTAAGCAAATTTCGCACTTAATGCCAGTAGCTAATGCTATGTCAAATTTATGATTAGAGGTGGCTGTTTTGCCTCATCAAGACATAACAAGTTATATAACTGCAACTGCTTCTACAATAGCTGTCTGGTTTCTCATCTCAGTATTTAAATTGCAAGTACCTGTCTTTAGGCAATGTTACCTTTTTTATTCAAATCTGGAAGCACTTGATTGGGGATTTTCCATAACAGCCTTATTGTTGGAATGAATGGGGGATTATATCTTATTCTTGACACATAAGTTATGCTAGGTTTTCTCATCTGTCGATGGAGTGGTTGATTTAGTTTTAGTGCCCAGCAAGGGCAAGTCACTTTGTTTTCAATTATATGCTCCATAATGATTGCAAATCTATGAAATTCATAGATAAACCTTTATTTTGTGTAACTTTCCTTCTGTTTTTTATTATTTATTTTTTTAAATTTCTTTGGCAGGGAAGTTTTCCAGTGTCACTTTTGTTTTCGCAAAGCTTAAAGTCCCCGACAAGGAATGATGGTATTTTCAAACGATATAGATATTTCCCCCACTTATATAATCACAAGCCACATACCATCTCTAGCGAGTTTACTTGGAATTTTCCTTAGGGTAAGTAGAATGAACTGATCGATGATCTTCATGGAAGTGAAAGAAAAATTGTCTCATGCTTCATAAATATACTTCTTTGAGTTGCGTGCATCCTCAGTTTGGAGGGATGGGATGCAGGGATGCTCATAGTTCAACTGTTTGCTCATGCAAGAAACTGTTGGACATTTTCTGACTGTAGCACACAGGAATTTGAACCTGGATTATTCCAGCTGAGGGTATGCTGTCCAGCTCAGCTACAGCCGCTTGTCTGAAACCACTGGACAATTTTGAAAGATCGTGATGTTGCTTTAACGTATTATTGCTCTTTTGAATGAACAAACTGTCTATATGCTTCTTGTCTGTTCATATACATATATTGGGCAAAATAAGTGTTTTTACATTGTATGTATACTGTATAATTGGTAGATTTTCTATAAATCTAAGACATGGGGCAAAAACTGAAGTGTCTACAACGGGAATGCTATTTGACTGCGTAGGAGTTAAACAACTGAAAAAAGCTCAGTTTAAAATTTTAATTTTAACTAGTGTTCTCTCTTTGAATACTTGTGTGCGAATGTTATATCATAGAGCATAGATTTCGTTTGTAACTTTTCTTTTATTCAGATGCGTGGCTTTTAATCTTCACATGTTGTGTCCTTTTAGTGACTTTGAGGAGGTTTGGGTTGCCGTCCTTAACATCACCGATCCTTTATCAAGCTGGTCATTCGCAGAAAATATGCTTCCCGGTATGAAATTTTAAGATTCCACTTCTGTTTGTGAGTATTTTTCTTTGTTGTATGAGTAATCTCTCTGGAAATTGCACAGCTCCGGAAACAATTGATGGTGGTCCACCATCCTACATATTGAGACTTAGTGGAACCAGCCAGGCAAGTTGGACTTTCTGGTTAGAGGTAAAGTTCTGTCCTTGATTTGCTTAGGTGACGAGGATGATCGTTTTAGACAGTTCAATTTTGTTACAGTGGTTTTAATTTCTTTTTGGAAAGTGTAGGCTAGCAGTTCTGACGATTTGAGGGTGGAAGTTGCTGTGGTCGAACAAGTTTCAGATGATGAAGCAGAGAGGTTGAAGGCCTTCTCCCAGATTGGGCAGAATAAGCTTTTTGTCCACCTACATTTTCCAACTCTTAAGATTTTAAACTGTCAATTTATAAACTTGCTCAAACATTTTCAGACCCAGATGATAATCTAAGCAAATGTAGTTCAATTTGGCATGAGTGAAGCATAATTGAAATTATTTCATTTATCAGTTTTAAAATTGCAAAAAATTATAAAGTGGCATGACAATAATCCTGAAGCTGAGGTGCTCCAAAATTAACACAGCACGAAACACCATTTGTCAGCTATAAAGATCAACCAAGAGCTATGTACATCAACATTAATTGAATCATCTTCAAGTGGTTTCAGGTTCTGCAATTGAAGCCTCTGCCACTAGGTAACTTTCAAAAATAGGATGTTAGGATCGAGTTATTTGAATGGGCTATTTGATAAAGGATAGAATCATTTATAGGGATCGGTCCACCTGCTACAGATATTTTACTAATCCTCTACCATTTAATTTTTGTTATGTTATAAATAATTTTGTTATTGTCTCCATATTTTATTATTTTTTAATATATATTTTTTTATGTTATTGTCGCAATGTTTCTTGTGTTATAAATAAATATATATAGTAAAATATATATTAATTATGTTATTTATAAAATATAATTATAACGGAAACAATATTGAGACAATAACATAATTACTAATGACTTCCTACACACACATATATAGATATAAAGTTAAAAATAAAAAACACCAACAAATTTGATGATTTTTGGATATGTTAATTTGAACTTAATTATGATCCAATTTACTTGATTAATTATAAAATTAATTGAAGGGTTTAAGCCATAAAAGTTTTGAAATATGTTACTAGCTACATCTTAACTTTCATATACATATAGATAAACAATGCTTAATAACATTACTTAATAAAAATCCATAACAATAATTAATTTATAAGGAAAACTGTGAGTTAAATATCATTTTCTTTTTCCCTGACATCATCAAAATTGATTTATAGAACTTGATAAAAAGAATTTCTCATTAATACTATAAAGATGGGAAAAAATAATAATAATTTAGAGACAATTTTTTTTAAATAATCAATATCTGGGTTTCTCGATGTGCAAGCATGAAGTTCCCACCGACACTACACAATGGCTACCGTAGAAAAAACGGAGAGTCCTTACTCGTAAGAGTCCCGCGATCCTTCCCAAAGTTGGACAACTTTAGCCCTTTAAAACTACTAGGGCGACGTCAAACTGAAGAGCAAGAAATTAGTAGTAAAGCAGAGACGAAAACAGAGAGATCGAGAGATTAATCTTACTCCAAAAAAGCAAGCAAAAACATGAGCATGGCAGTAATTCGAGAGTTTCAAATCTGCGAGGAGCTCGGCGGTGGACAATCCGGCATCGTTTATCGTTGCCAATCCCGCTTAACCCGTGACTCTTTTGCCGTGAAATCTATCGACAAGAGGCTAGACTCCTTCCACTCATTTAAATACGAGCCGCAGATACTCCGTCTCCTCAGTCCTCACCCCAACATAATCCAACTTCACAGGCTCTACGAGGACGAAACTCACCTTCACATGGTAATCGATTTCTGCCAAAACAAAGATCTTTTCGATTTAGTGTCCAACCGTATAGGTGTTCTTAGTGAAAGTGAAGCCAGATCCCTCTTTACTCAATTGATGAAAGCTATCTCCCACTGTCATAAAAATGGGGTCATTCACCAGGACATTAAGCCTGAAAACATCTTATTGGACAAGAGATATAGGGTAAAGCTTGCAGATTTTGGGTTAGCTAAGGTTGTTAGTAGGGTGAGAAGGTGAATGGTTGTGTAGGGTCAGTGTATTATAAAGCGCCTGAGGTTTTATTAGGGAATGGACACGATGAGAAAGTGGACGTGTGGAGTGCTGGGATTGTGTTGTATATCATGTTTGTGGGTTTTCTCCATTTAATGGGGAAACGGTTGAAGAGATTTATGAGGCGATTTTGAGAAAGGATTTGAGGTTTCCCGATAAAGTTATTCGATCGATTTCAACATCAGTTATTGATCTTTTGAAGAGGATGCTTTGTAAGGATCCTTCCAGGAGGTTGTCTGCTGAAGGAGTACTAAGTAAGTGATCTGCTTTTGTTTCTAATATTTTTAATTACATGATTAGTATAATTTACAAGATCAGTTATAGTTTTGCACTATATTTTTGTAATAAAAGCTAATTATGTTGTTTAATTGTTTATAATTTTATTTGGGGTTTCGGTACTAATCATCTTGTGTTGTTTTATATGGGTTTTACAGGACATTCATGGTTTTTACAGGTCTAGTTACATGCAGTTGATGAGGCTGAACTGATATCTATACTTGATAATCTGTCTGGTTCTGAGTTAGAGGAGATTCTCCAAGACCAGAGATTTTTATAGAGATTGATGATTCGTGGCTCTTCTGCAGCATATTTTCTGGACAAGGATTATGAATCTGCTGGGTTTGTTGGAATCAAACGTGCTGTGCTTGTTGCACATATGGCCTTGGTGAATTTGGGATACTAGACAGTGGAGCAGTGGACTAGTAGCAGTGTTGGTGGATGTCTTGGATATAAATTCTTTTATTCTAGTTAGGTTCTTGGCCGTATCATTATTTTTGGTGACTTGATATGGAGCTGCAATAATAGTGATTGAAAAATCAATCAATCAACTCTGAAGCTAAATTAGTTCAATTTCTGTTTTATGGGCAGACTCCCAATTTTTTATGATGCAATTGTAAATTCTATGTAAACTCAGCAATTTGTTTAATAAAAGAGAAGGATTCTCCATATGTCATCCCTTTTGATGTTTGTTATGCCTTTTTGTTAATTATGATTGATATAAGAACTAAGAACAAGCAAAATATCATTAATTGCACTGAATCTTGATCGTTCAAAATCAATAAATGATTATGTTTTGCTTTCAGATTCAATGTATGATTACTTTTTGGAATAAAAATGGGTGAAGATCAGTTCTTGAATGTTATTGTGTATTGCTGTTACTCATTTATAAAGGTTGGAGATCTTGATCACGAGTATCATTAGCTCATGGTTTTTCAAAAAGGATAGTGTTTATGAGAAGTAGGAACAAATTTTTGACTCACTATATATATATATATATATGACCTTGAGTAATGCATAACGTTTATCTCTTCAGGTTTTCTATTCAGAGAGGGTAGCTCTGGTGCTTCTTAGTATTCCCATCGCCATGTTTCTTGTCATGCCGTTCCTTTTGCATTTTGGATTCTAGGTCACGTTCTTGTTTTGCAACCTTCTATGAATTTGTGAAGGGTTGACTCTCCCAGTCATCCTTGCCATAGTGAGACTGCTCTTGTCTAGTTATGCGATGAGCTGGTGATCAGTTTGTTCTCTGTTTCTTTTGTTTTATTCTCCTGAAATTTCGAATGGGGAAAAGGGTGCCAGGTGTGAGCGTGGGGTCTTACAACTGCTGGCCATGGACTTCTTCAGCAGTTCCATTGTATTCAAACAGCAAGATGAACATCTATACGATGATGATGATGTTATCTATAATGATGTACTTCCATGGGACACCATGCATAAATCTCTTCCGTAACTTAGGAGTAGCTAGATGATGATATTAGAACTGTTGGTCATGGTTCTCATTGACATGCAAGATTTAAATGCAGGTTTGCACATCCATACCTGGCGTTCCTGGTGTTCGTCCCGTACTCCCTTGATAGTTTGTTGATTCCAACAACTGTTTGGGGTTGTTTCCCTGTGTCTCAAAATGTTTCAGTTGCCAAGTAGTAGGAGGATGTACAATTAGATATCGTATAATTTTTGTGTAATTACTAATTCAGCCATGTTTGTTACGTTTTCTTTAACCACATGACTAGAGGCGCTTTGTAAAAGGTTAAGTTTTATATGTCTTTAGATCTTAAAACGCATATATTATATTTTTGTCATTTGAGTTGGTTTCTAAATTATCATTTTTATCAATTTTTTATTTAAATCATTCAAAAATATCACATGACCTACATATTATTTTTTCTTTAAATGAAATATCATTTGCAATTTAATATATTAAGTTTTTAATATATTCTTGTATAATTGGTTGCGTTTTGAATTTATTCTTAATGCTAAGAAATCTATTATATTATAGTGAATAATTTTTTTTAATAATGTATTGCACTATAATAAAATTTTTATTAATTAAAAATATATAAAAATAATTAGTATAATTTAGTATGTAATTGTTCAAGAAATTAAAAAACAAATAATTACATTTAAGAAATTTAATTAGTCTCTTAAGCATGTAATTAATAAACAAATAATTATATTTAAGTAATTTTTAATTAGTCTCTTGAGCATGTAATTAAAAACAAATAATTACAAGTTTTCTTTCATTAAATAATTATTTATTTTTTGCACGTGGTTCACATGTTTTTTTTATAGAGATGATTTAATATTTTGATAAATATTATATCAACTTATTCAATATTATACATGAGTGAATTATTATAATAACAATAATATAATGGACTCTTTAGCATTAAAAATATGTTAAATGATAATTTGTTAAACAGTTATATAATAACTTATACTAATTATTTTTATATGTTTTTAACTAACAAAAAATTTACAACACGTTATCAAGAAAATTAATAATAATAATATAATGGATTCTTTAGCATTAAAGACAGATTGGAAACTCAATCCATTATAAAAAACAAACTAAAAACTTAATATGTTAAGCTGCATGAAGCATTGAAAATTATGTGTAGGTCATGTGAAATTTTTAAATGATTTAGTTGAAAAATTGATTGAAATGACAAATTAGAAACCAAATCAAATAACAGAGACACAATAGAAACATTTCAATGTTTAAAAATAGATTAAAAACTTAACCTGTTATATAAGAATAAACGAAAATATTAACTTTTAATCAGATTCATTTGGAATTTCTTTGGATTACGATGATGATAATAATAATAGGAAGTATACCGTTTAATTTGGCGTTCAAGTTGTGCAGCATCCACCTTACTGACATCATCAATGCCAAGAAATTTCAAAACAATTGATTTGAATGCAAGTCTGGATTAGAATATGCGAAAAAAAGATAGAAAACCAGTTTATTAGGAATTGAAAACCAATAGACAAACACGAACAGAAGATAAGTTGCTTACATAAATGGGGCAAGATGCCCTCCGATTGCTAAGGATGAGCAAACATTTGATATGCATGACATTCAGTAGAGACCAGTGGCTAATTTATGGTCACTGTCTTTACTCTGACTACTATACTGTTGAGCTTCTTATCTAGCAGTACTTCTCGTTGAAAAGTAAAGCATTAACTGTAATATTAGGGCTGATTAGGATATTTGATAATCATGTTTACTTTACATTGGATCCATGTACTGTTTAAATTGTTTAAATTAAGATTTTTTATAATTTTTTAATTTAATTAAAATGTTTTGTTTTTAAAAATTTATTGATTTATACTCGCGCGTCTCCTTAACATTAATAATAACCGATTACAAATGGACATATAAAGGAAGATTTTTATTATTAAACTAATATTTAATATTTAAAAATAAATGAAAAAACAAAACTAACCCAACCTATTGTCCCAACCCAACTTGTTCTTTTGGAAGTATTTATTTCATCCCACCGAACCCGAATTCTTTCAGATCGTCATCTCTCGCTTTTTCTTCTTCCTCCTCGTTCATCTCTATCCACAACCACATCACCATGGCTGCCTCCATTTCCTAACCTATCAATTTCAATTGAAATACCCAGGCACCAAAGCTATTGCATCACTTTCTTAACCCTTACTTATCCATATGGTGACAATCCCTCTTATCTCCTTTGTCCTTAATCTCCATTAACCTTGTGTTCTGCTTTTCTTTTCTTTCGAGTGCTGGGCTGCCCATCCTTTTGCTTTGCTTTCATTCCTTGTCAGTGAAGCCTTTCCACAACCATTTGATAAAAGCAGAAGACTTCTTTCTCTTTTGCGGCTACGAAGCATCTTCTATCTGCAACATCCCGTATAGCCCAACTAGAACTTCATCACTTACAATGCAATCATTTTTGGGTTAGAATTGGGTTTCTCATGCGGTTTGTTTAAGGCTTGGGTTTGGGTCTAAAAACTTTTGTAATTAGTGGGTTAATTGAGAATTATTCAAAGAATGGGGATTTGTGGTCAGATGAGAGGTTTTTTAAGGAGCGTTTAGATTTAGATAATGTGGTTTGCACTGCTTTGGTTAATGGGTATGTCTGGAATGAGGAGTTTGAAAAGGGAAAACAGCTTCTTCTTCTTTTAATTGAAATGAGAGGGTTAGGTTGATGCTATTAACGTGTTTGATGAATTACCAAACCAGATGTTGTTTCTTGGACTAAGAAGGTAGGAAGGCTAGGAGCTGTTTTCCATGAAGTCTATGGAAGGCTTTTTCTTCATCTAAAAGTTCAGGAACTTCAGGTAGCCCTCTAGAAATGCATTGTGCATACTAAGATCTGAACAAAACTTGAAGAGGATGACAGATTATACATGAAAGAAAGTAACTCATTTAGCAATGCCATAAGGAGGTCAGCTGTCACACTACAAAAGAGGCTTGAAATTGGCACGTAAGCTTGAATACGCCACCTCAGATGCACACAAATGCTTGTAAATATCACAGACAATGGTTGCATCAAGCTGAGTTTCTAGTAATTGTCATCGACGTTGACAATTTTCATGGGGTGGTCTTCGTCGATGATGCAGTGGTGTCTTTGTAAATGCAAAAAACAAAGGATAAAAACAGGTTGTTTGGATTTGGGATAATGAACTGGGGGTGAAGTTATCTTTTTCAGTAAATTTTTAACTATAAGTATTAGTTTATTAATAAGAGTATTTTTATTTTTTTTATATTTATGGATGACAAAACTTTCATACGGGATCCATTTAGTCACATGTGGTTTTTCGATTGGTTGATGTTAGTTTTAATGTATATGGGTTGGATGTTATAACGGAGAGTATAAATTAATAAATTTTTAAGGCTAAAAGGTTTTATCAAGTTAAAAACCTATAGAGGATTTTAATCAAATTTTTAAGAATAGAAAGTTTCAATTAAGTTAAAAATTTGTAAAGAATCTCAAATTAAAAATATTTGAACAATACAAAGATTAAATGTGGAGTAAACTTGATAATAAATCTATTGAAACACGGCTAAGTTAGTGTGATTTCAAAGATCGAAGTAGTGAAAAAAACATCTATTTCATAATCATATGCGTTTTTTTTCTAATCATCATACATGGATTCCATACTTGTTACCTATTGTATATGTATAATTTTTCCTCCCTCTAAACAAGCCTCAAAATTTTGTGAAAAAGCTAGCTACTAATTTATTAGGTACATGTTTAAAATCCAGCTCATGAGTGAACTTAACACAAATTTAGGAAAAATATTGAAGTAAAAAAGAATTAATTAGGAAAAATACTGATTAGGAAAAAGATTGAATAGGAAAAGAATTGCATTGAAAAGAAAAAAAGTTAAAGGGCAAACTGTGAAGTGTGTGTATATATATTGATGAAAAAGGAGATGAAAAGCACACAGGAAAAGTTGATTTGATTTTCCTCTTTTGCTTTGGTTTTGCCAAATAAAAAAAAGTTGGATTCCTTTTGTTAGGTACGGTTTGCTGAGAAAAAAGAAAAAAAAGAGTTTTTTTCTTGAATTTCTATAATAAGGAAGTAATGGTTTTTGATGTAAAAATATTTGAGTTTTCTTTAGTATTGATTGTTTTGGATGTTACAACCACTAAGAATTTTAGTGTTCAAAATGATGACATCACACAATTTAAACTTTGTAGAAACACAAAAATTTCATACATTTTAAGAGTTTTATTGTTAAACGAATTTAGATAGAAAAATAATTTGTATTACTATTAATATTTTTACTTATCAAGTTTATAAAAAACTTAAGTGATTGTATTGCTTTCTTGATTATAGTGGATTATTTTAAAATTTATCTTGTGTTTTTTTCCTTTACAATAGAGAGAGTTTTTCATGTAAATTTGGTGTTTTTGTAGTTGTATTCTTGTGATTGATTTATTTTTTGCTCTTGATTATCATGTGTGTTTGATTTACTTATTTTCTCATGAAATTTAACTTACATTGAGTCGGATTAAATTCTCAATAGTAATATCAAAGCTTTGGTTGGAATATTTGTGCAAATTAGATGGAGAAAAATAATTTAGGAACCAACTACCAAATTTGAAAGCCGAGGATGAAGGATTTACTTTATTGCCATGATTTATTTGATATGATTGAGTTAGGTGAAGTCAAACCAAATGCCAAGACTGATGATGCTTGGAAAAAGGAGTATAAAAAGAGTATTAAAGCTATCAAATAATGGATAGACAATAGCATATTTTACCATATATCCAAAGACACGGATATCCAATAATTAAGAAAAACAAATAGAAAGTATATATGAAAAAAAGATTGCATGAAATAATTTTTTTTTGTTAGAAGGTCGGTGAGTTTGAAATATCGAGATGGAATATTTGTTACCAAGCTCTTAGGTGACTTTTAAGATTTGATTAAATTGTTGATAATTATGAAAATAATGTTAGATGATGAATTACAAGTTCTATTGATTTGAGAGACTTTTCTAGACAACTAAGAGACTTTGGTTGTGACACTTGGTAATTCTACTTCAAATGGTGTTTTGTCGCTTTTTAATGTTAAAAATAACTTGTCCACCGAAAAACCAAATGAAGCAAAGTGATAGCAAATGAAGCACAACTCTTGTCATAGAGAACAAAGAGAGGA